TCGGCATGTCCCAGTGCATTTGAGGCCACGTGGCGAATGCATTTGTTAAATATATAGAAAGTGAGAGAGCGAGAGAAAGTGAGAGAGAGAGCTTGTTATGTCATAACTGCTCAAACTGCGTGACAAAATTTGAGGCCATCAATTCCAATCGAATGATCAATGGCATTTCAAACACACATCGGAAATCGTATGAAATTATGTTCAGCAACTTTTACTTTACCAAGAGGAACAGCGTGAAGCAGTTTACCTCCAAGTACTTCCTAGATCAAGAATTAATGAATTTCCATTTCCGCGTGCTTCTTCATGGCTTAGTGCTTAAGCACTTAGTCTGAGCTATTTATTTCGTAGTTAAGAACTTACAGATACTGAAAGTAAGTACGTGTATATATATATATATATATATATATATATATATATGGGTATATGTCACGCGGCGGTCACGGTAGCCGAGCGGTCTAAGGCGTGCACTGTCTTCGCTCGCTCGGAAGCCGGGATCGTGGGTTCGAATCTCACCCAGGGCATGGATGTTTGTTTGCGTTTTTCTGTGTTTGTGTACTGGTAGAGGCCTTGCGACGAGCTGATCACCCACCCAAGGAGTCCTACCGTATGTCTAAGATCTAGAAAAACCGAAGTGAACGGAGAAGTTCATGGAGGTAGGCCTAGGCCCACTGGGGCTGTAGTGCCAAGGGGAAAAAAATATGTCACGCGACAATAGGTTAGAATTCGTAACTACTAAAAAGGTGAAAAGGTAAAGCCATCCCTGTAACAGGCTGTGGAGGCCCATAAGGCTGTGAGACGTCGAGGCTCCCACATTTTCTAGACAATCGGTTCACAGATGGCGGTGAGGTTGCCCGCCTTACGCGCCGGCTGGCCGCCCTTTAACTCCAGGAGAATTCCTGGTACTCATTTCTATTACAGGTTGAGTCGACCCTAGGGCCATAATGCAGCTAGAAGATTTAGGTCAATTAAAAAACCCAATGACCTCATCCGGAATCGAAACCGCGACCTTCCGGCTTCCAGCATAGTGCCTCAACCCACTGATCTGCCGCGTGCCCCAAAATTAGTGACTACTACTCTAAATAATTTTTAAACTAACTGTTTATCTCCATAATCCTTAGAGCATACACGTGTTACTAAGCAGCAGTATCTTTTCGGCAGTTAGAATAGGATACGGACGGTACTCAAATACACACTTCAATATAAGACGGGCTAGGTTACTAGCTTGTAATTACACAGTATTTGTAAGATGTATAACCTGAAGAAAAGAACTAAGGAAAGGAAAGCTGCGACGTTCAGTACTTGGAAATAAAGTAATTATTGATAAAAATATATTGGAGCAAATGTGTCAAATCAGTTTTCTATGAAATGACGTAACATAAACATTAATGAAAACCTATACCGGCATGACAAATGGCAATAGTCCTTGGACAATTAAAGAAGGAGATACAAATAGAATACAATAGGCAGAGATGAGATACTTAATAATAGATAAGGACTCCATGGATTAGACCTCGTTAAGAATGAAGACATTAGAAAGAGAAAAGTAAAATCAGCACGAAATAAATTACGTGAACACAGGTAAATCGAATCGAACCAAATGGGTACAGAGGCTGATGACAGAATATTGGGACAGATTGTACCAATTTAAACCAATAGGACACCGCGGCAGAGAAAAGCTTTAGAAAATAAACAATGAGCATGTCTGTCATTTTCCTGTGTTCTGTTTCCTTCTAATGCTTGCTAACATTCAGTTCAGAAAATTTTGTCTTCTCATCTGCTGTCTAAAACAGTAAAAATTAAATTTGCAAAATTATAATTTTGCCTGTAGTTTTATATGGATGTGGAACTTGGTCTCTGACATCAAGGGAGGAACATAGACTAAGGGTGTTTGAGAAATATTAGTTGAATAATTGGACCGAAGAGAGGTGAAGTGACAGGAAGTTGGGAAATCTGTATAATTAGGAGCTTCATAACTTGTACTCTTTTTTTTTTTCCTTGGCACTACAGCCCCAGAGGGCCTAGGCCTACCTCCAAGAACTTCTCCGTTCACTTCGGTTTTTCTAGATCTTACACATTCGGTAGGACTCCTTGGGCGGGTGATCAGCTTGTCGCAAGGCCTCTACCTCTACACAAACACAGAAAAACGCACACACACACAAACTAAATATCCACGCCCTGAGTGTGATTCGAACCCACGATCCCGGTTTCCAAGCGAGCGAAGACAGTACATGCCTTAGACCGCTCGGCTACCGTGACCGACAACATGTACTCTTAGCCAAGTATAATGAGAATGATGAAATCAAGGAGAGCAGAATAAGTAGAGCATGTAGCACGCATGAAGTAGAAGCGTAATATATATAGTTTTCGTGGAAAGAAACTACTAGGAAGACCTGGACGTAGGTGGGAGGATATTAAAATGGATCTTAAAGAAATGGGGTGGTTGTATGGGCTGAATTGATGTTGTTCAAGTTAGTAACCAACGGAGGGTACTCGAAAACGTGGCAATATAATAAAATATTTAGAAATTCTTGAGTAGCTGAGCAACTGATAGCTTCCCAAAAAGGACTCACTTGCATGGTGTTAGTGTAGATGAGTGACAACCGTGAGGGAGGCTAAGACGAAACTAAAAGGGCTAGAATAATAATAATAATAATAATAATAATAATAATAAGAAGAAGAAGAAGAAGAAGAAGAAGAAGAAGAAGAACCAATAATGAGTTGGCTTCCGTTTACACAGTGCTGCAGAATACTAAGGGGTTCATTGGACAGCATCAATATAAGAGGAACAGCAGCTCTTAAACTTGGATGTGGAGTCTGAGCATGTACAAAGAGCATGAGGTGAGAGCAGTAAGAATAAGCTTGAACTTAATGCCCCGGGCCATGTTTCTTTCTTACGAGAAGATGCTCCGAACTTCCCATTACTCGACATGTTAGGACTTGCATCGGACACTCTCTCACTGGCAGTAACTTACTCGGCAGTACAGTCCAGATGAGAAATTTTGATAGTGTAAATGTAATTCTCGTTGTGCTATAGCAAAATGGCAGATTCTTGGACGAAGAAAACATGGAAGATATTGCGGAGGAGGGACAGACAGAGGCTGTAGAGTTCTTAGACTTGGAAATCAGTAACTACCTCAAACCTATCTCCAAATCTCAAGTTCTACATATGAAACGAAAGAAACCTTCATTAATGCAGTGAGACTGTATGGACAGAGTTTTGGTAAATCAGTAACCCCTGCTCGCCTGCTGAAAGAGATTAATGATATGAAGACGAAATTTCTCAAGAGGACCGAAATACACAAGACAGGGAGTAAACTCATGGAATTTCAAGACTGAAAGGAAGACTTGTACGCTGTGATGGAGAGGGAATGTAACCCGTCAGTCAGTAAAATTGCAGGTAAGATAACGTATAATAATACAACAATTATTACAAGTAACTATTTAAATTATGCAGGATTTGAGGTTCCCTTAGAAGTGGTGAAGAAGCGTTATGCCCCAAGAGATAACACTCGTCACTAATTAAATTCATTAGTTCTAAGGAAGTGACGAATTTTATAATATCAATTATATTATTAATTTATTACTAGTGATAAAATGTAACACTTTCCTAGCTTATTGGTTAAGACACTACTCAGTTCATATTTTCATATACAGCGTGAAACTGAAAGGTGCGAACAAATTTAGGGCACGAGTTCCACATACAAAACTAGAAGAATGTCCCTTTAATCATGAGTCCGGAAACATTTGATTTGTGAGTTACACCTGAAGGAATATTGTCGTGACCCATTTTACTGTTGTTATCAAATTTTGTGGCTCCTATCTTTCTAGTGGGAGAGCAACTGCCTGCTCCTTCTGACCTTCCAATGCGCTCGTGATGTTACCAGCTATAGATGTTAGAGCACGAATGTGGTACAGGCGTTATGGTACTCCGGCACATTTGAGCTGTGCTGTGCGAGATGTTCTCATTAACACCCACTAGGACTGATGGCCTGGTAAAGGAGGACCCACTGCGTGAACTTCACACTCGTCAGATTTGAATCCTCTGGGATTTTGCCTATGCGGACACCTAAAACCCTTGTGTATGCAGCTCCTGTTGACAACTAAGGGGCACTTCACAATCGCGTTGTGGATGCCTCTCAGACTACCCACAACCACCCTGGCATCTTTGAACGGTTATGGAGGTCCATGATGAGACGTGTCGAGGGGTGCACTGAAACTCATGGAGGACATTGTGAGCACTTGTTACAAATGTACACTTTCAGCTAAAACTCACGAATTAAATGTTTCCGGACACATGTCCATACGGATATATTTTTTTTTACACTTTACATTCTGTAAGTGTACAATATGTTTCAACTACATGGAACCATTAACATATATATATACAAGATGTATATTAAGATTAAGAAACTGAAGTGAAACAAAGCGTTTCACGGATGCCCTATGGGAGCAACAGGAAAGAGAGAGAGAGAGCGAGAGAGAGAGAGAGAGGTTGTGTAAGGTAAATGCAAAGATGTCCCTGTGCTTAACTAATTAAGCACTGATCCATGAAGACGTATTCTTGACTTCAACACTATTATATGTGTTCTTCTATATTCTTTTTTTCCTCTTATCTTGACAGCGATGTGTTTATATTGTCTGATTGTTTTTTGTGTCAAACCTTGCGGTGGCTAGTGTGTGTGTGTGTGTGGGGGGGGGGTCTATTATTATGAACTAATCGAAGCGAGGTCTCAGTGTTATCGACCTCTAGACAAAGTTACATATGTTATTGTTTTAAAAGTCCCGTTCAGTCCTTTCATATATTGTATAAGAGTTTTAAACAACCCAACTTCTTTATAAACATGTGGAGTAACATAGTTGTTGAATATGCCTTTATGAAAAATTTTACAATTCTGCAACTTTGAAAATGCTAAGTGATAACTACTGTTCCTAGAACTACTAGTTGCAATAACACCAAATTTACATATATATATGTATATATATTATTAAACGTTTTGCAGGGTCTCTGAGATTTTGGGAAGCAGCAGAAACAAGAAACTGACGCTAGGACAAGCGTGGAGGAGGACAAGAACTAGAGTCCACTCCCGCAGGAACCTTCGAACTTCCTTCAGCACCAACACGGATATCACTATCTTCTGCACCCTCTACAAGGAGGAACTTAATTTTAGAAAGATATGAAACGAAGAAACTGCTAACTTGTCGAATTCTGAATTACCCGGCCAGTTAACCGTCGCAGAAATTCAGCGGCAGTGTTACTAGGAAATGTTGAAAGAGGTCGCTACGAAACAGACTGTACATGATATTCAGTATGACAGAGGCAGCCACAGTTATTTTCAATTGCAAGAGCTTGAAGTTAAGCTAGATATGTACCCCACATTCTCAAAATAATGTAAAGGTAAATGTAAAGTTGTCCCCATTTTTTTATTGCTAGTTGGGTGGGACTAAGTCCCTTGTACTTCGGCCACTTCTGGCCTATTGTACCAGCCCCAGATGCTAGGTGAGGGTGACTGTGGAGCAATTGGTGGAATGAAGGTTGGCAGGGGAAACCGAAGTACTCGGAGAAAACCTGCCCTAGAGCCACAGAGTTGTTCCCTTGCTCAACGAATTGAGCACTAGGCCATGAAGGCGTATGAGGGAGTGGATGTACAGATCCAAGTTTTCTTGACCTCGGCACTAGCTGGAGGTGAGTGATTAGCTTCACGCCCCGGTCGCTTTACCACCGGGGAAAGATCGCCCGGTACCCTTTTGATAGGAGATTGGATGGACCCCAGAGTCAGTGTGGAGGACGTGGAGAAGAGAAAATTCTTGACCCTATCGGTACTCGAACTCCGATGCCTTGGTCTTCCAGTCCGTAGAGAGTATAGCTATACCAAATAAGCTATTCCGGCTCCTCTCAAAATAATGTACTAACTTTTAAAAGGCAACAGTAGGTCAATAAATGTTACGTTTCATGCAGAAAAAAAAATGAAATTAATAGTTGCTTATTTTATATGTAACAATTCTGTATAATTTAATATTTTACAAAGGGTTGTATTCTAATGACAAGAAAATAACATTTTTTTCTTTTATGTAATCCTTTCATATAGAAGAATCTTTTACCAGCAAATTGGACTTAAATTTGAGGAAGAAACTAGTGAAATGCTACATTTGGAGCATAGCTCTGTATGGGGCTGAAACATGGACACTTAGGGCAGTAGATCAGAAACATCTGGAAAGTTTCGAAATGTGGTGTTGGAGAAGAATGGAGAAGATCAGTTGGACCGATTATGTGAGAAATGAAGAAGTGTTAATTAGAGTCAGTGAGCAGAGGAATATCCTACATGAAATAAGAAAACGGAAGGCTAATTGGATTGGTCATGTTTTACGCAGAAACTGCCTTCTAAAAGAAGTTATCAACGGAAAGATAGAGGGGCGGATAGAAGTGACAAGAAGACGAGGAAGAAGACGTAAGAAGATGCTGGATGACCTTGGGGACAGAAGAGGATACTGTCATTTGAAGGAGAAAGCTCTAGATCGCATTAAATGGAGGAATTGTTTTGGAAGAGACTGTGGACCTGTCGTCTTGACAGATTACTGATGATGATGATTCTCTTCTCTTTACAAATTTGAAGTTCTTGAACCACGACTGTATATCCTTGTAACCAAAAAGTTTTCCTATGACAATAAAAAAGACTCTCATTGGTTCCAGTTCCTTCTTTTAATTCTTGCCCGCGTAGTACCCGAGCTATATTTTCTCCTTCATGACCCCCACGTTCAAGTCTCTCTGCTTCACCTAAAGATACTTTTTCACAACTTACGTCATTTTGCTCACTGTCGTTATTATCAAAATCTTCATAGTGCGAATATTTAACAAAGTTTGACAACACGAAACGGCAAATTATGGTAGAAAGAGCTATTTATAGACTCATTTGACACGTGTTAAGGAGGGCAGGTATACGTATATTTAAGTGCCTGAAGTATAATTCGACAGTAGCTTTCCCATTCTTTCTGGTTGCAGTATGTTATCAGCCACTGTTCTGGGCCACGGTAACACAGCATCACCAACCTTGGTCATTTTCACTCGAACATCACATTTTTTCCTTATTCTGCTGTTGTTGACTGACCCAGGCCAGCTGACATGGATACTAGTAAGCATTTCCTTTGAAACGCATGTAGCTTGCACATTTTCAATTGAAAACCCGTTCCTATTCATGCACTCATCCCCACGAGGAGCTGGCTTGTGGTTACGTACACGTGTACAATCAACTATACCTACATCATCTGGAAACGTGTATTTATCCCGCCACTGTCTTTTACCTTCATCTATAGCAGTTGCAAGGGAGGGGGTTGATATAAATGTTGATTTTCTGAAATTTTCTCAAAACGATACTGACAGTTATTCAACAGTTCTCTTTTGCACACCTCCAATTCGATTTTGGAACCTGGGTTCTGACTTGCAAAAAGAAGAGATTGGGGAGCCTTGGTCCCTGAATTAACGTTGAAAACGTATACATTACCACAAATACATTATTGTCCTACAATACCATATACTCCCATCTGATCTTATAATTTGCATAAATGGAAGTCTCGGGGCCACAAGCTTTTCTCTTATACAATCCAATGGAGGTAAATGCGTTGGATCGAGAGGATACCTAAAGCCGTTACAACTTGCTAGAATAGGTACTTGATCTCTATCTAGTGTTACTGTGCACGTTACACATGCCTTAAACTGAGCAACATCCATGTCTGGAAACTCTGGAGCTAATACATTTACGTGTTTTTCACCTATTCCAACAGTAGAGTTATTGCGATTGTCCATTGCTGTGCATTTCAGATTTCGTTGCCATGGATATCTCTTCAACAGCTAAATTTCTGCTGAGTGTTTGAAATCCTAGCCTCCCACTTCTTTAGTTGCCTGTTACCTAGGAGATATGTTTACCGAGCCGTTGCCTAGACATATTACAGCATTTCAATCGCAATATGTCCAGAGCCATCTCTTACGGTTCAGCCGTGGCAGTGAAGTCGAGTCTCATGTTACGACCGACGGTCAGTCGGCCAGTCTGTCTTCGGAAATATCACCCATCTGGGGCGTACGATCAGATTTTTATTACTGTGAAACAGTTGCTGGTTTTTTGATGTGGGACGATCTCCCTGACGAGAGAACGGGTCTGTCGTTTACGACTGCTATGGTCTGCCCTCGCCAGCTCAGTCATTCTCGGGTTCGAGTCCCGCGGGACTCGTGACCATATTTTACTGTCTCAGATTCGATACTTCCTCCTTCGTCGCCACCTTCGACTCACAGGGTTATGGTGGAGGTATTCGACCCCGCCTCTACATGGAAGTAGCCGTGGCAGTCGGTTGAAATTCTGCTCCTATAATCTTTAGCCCAACCGCATAGAAATCACCTATTCAAACAGTAAAGTAAATGTAAGATTTGAGGCTTTCACGGCGGTGACTATGAAGAAAGCAGTCTTCTGGGATTTGGCACCGTGTATATGTGGTGTTAACTGACGTTTCGGAGGAACGTATCGCCTCCGTCTTCAAGGTAGAAGGAAAAATATAAGAAATCCGCAAGCGAAGATACCGTGAGAAGCGGCAAAAGCAGACTGGATTTCTTATATTTTTCCTTCTACCCTGAAGATGGAGGCGATACGTTCCTCCGAAACGTCTGTTAACACCACATATACACGGTGCCAAATCCCAGAAGGCTGCTTTCTTCAGTAAAGTAAATGCTTTCGTCCGCTGCTGTGTCCTTTACAGCTCGTTGCCGTGGATAGCTCTCCAACAGTTAAACTTATACCGCGTGTATTGAAACCATAGCAATCGAGTTCTAGTTCTTCCAGCAGTAGAGCTATTGCGTTCATCCGTTACCTAGGACATGTGTTTACCGAGCCGTTACATAAACATACGTGGTATTACAGTATTTCAGTGTTTCACAAGTGTTGTGCTGAGTGCCACTTACGGCTTCATCCATTTGCCCCTTCGCATAAAACCTTTTCAAAATCAAAAAAAGTCTCTCAGTATCTGTTGAAAAGGCTTCAGCTCTAGTTTGAGCACAGTTCCCAGAGAAATTGTTAGCAGTCCAAGGAGCGCATCATTAAAAACCTTTGGAGTCACTCTCAGGAGAAACACGGGACTTATATAACGCTCTTCAATGGTCGCCAATTCGTCCATTGCAAGGGACACATCCAGCCTAGCGAAAAGTAAGTCCGCTGCTGAGAGGAGAGATTTGCTTCAGAGCACGTTCTCAACATTTGAAACGAAAGTTCCATTTTATTTTTACGAAATACCCAATGAATGCTACAAGCCGGAAGGTCGCTGGATCTCATCCCGATGAAGTCATTGATTTTTCAATTGACCTCATCCTTCCAGCCGCACTGTGGCCCTGGGGTCGACTCAGTCATTAACGGAAATGAGTACCAGGGATTTTCTTGCGGGATAAAGGGCGGCCAGCGAGTGGGTCTGACAAACTTACTGCCATCTATGAGTCGACTGTCTAGAAGACGTGGGAGCCTCGACTTCTCACACACCTATGGGCCTTCGCAGTCTGTTACAGGTACAGGTGTACCTTTCTTTACCTTACTCAATGAAATACAAAAGGTAATGAAGCTGAATATTTGCTTGAGTTCCGAAATGATGGTTCAGAATGAGAATCTTCCCTGACTTTTATTCATCTGAAACGAAGAAAATGTTCAAAGATTCGCGAGTAAAAGGTCAAAAATATAGTAAAGCTATCCCTGTAACAGACCGTGAATGCGCATAGGGTTATGAGACGTTGAGGGTCCCACAATATCTAGACAAACACTCGCGGCTGCGCTTTACTCCCCAGGAAAATTATTTAATTAATTCCTGGTACTCATTTCTGTTAGAGGCTGAGTCAACCACAGAGCCATAGTGCGGCCGGAAGTACTAGATCAATTGAAAAAATCCAATTACCTCATCGGGACTTGAACCCGCGACCTTCCGGCTTGTAGCATCACGCTTTTCTTTATTCATTTGGCCTGTTGCTTCACAAATAATCCTGAATTGGATGAGGGCGGAGAAGTGTAACTGTCTTATTACAGACTGAGTCAGTCCACGTAATACAGCGGGACCCCGGTTACTCCAGCTCCTCGGATTACAAGCCCAATCACTTATTAACTTTCCTTTTCAGCTAGTGAAACTCCAGTGTGTCAGAATTTATTGTTT